TTACCCGCATTTGTCACTTGATTTAAGACACGTGATGGGAGGCGAATGCCGGATGAATTCTGAAGAAATATTTTATCCCAACTGCCAGGAGATTAGGCAGTGCCTAATTCTAGAGGAAATCCGGAAGAGTACCCGTAGAAGAGAGGTCTATCGTCGCCAAGAAGTAGGTGGCAGTGCATCTAAAATAAATATAGCGGACATCAAAGATGTAGTCGGAGATCTATGTCGAAGCGGGCACTGCAGGACAGCCACGCTAACACAAAGACGAGAAGGAGGGGCTCCGTGAAGATTCAACACGATGTGGCACAGGCGGTCATTTATCTGTCAAATTGAACACTAAACGTATCATGGGAATTTCGTTATGGTTTCTTCGAATAAATTTTATGTTACCAATACTCGCGTACGACTTTCCGAACACTGATAGCTTTCGTACGCTTTGAATACGTTTTGCGGACGATATAACCACTACCACCAAAATCCACGGCAGCCCCATAGGCCGCAGCACACACGGAACTAAGTCGTCAAGAAGGCATTCCGGGATGGGGAAGAGCCACCGCGTTATCCGTCAATCTTTTACTGCGTGATGACGCTCCTGTAGTCACTCGCGCGCAGAGAGCGGAGTCAAGTGATAAAAAGCAGAAGGTTGAGTTTTCAGGGGAAAGCGCGCCATCTGAACAGCTCTCATTTTAGAGAAAGAGAGACAGAGGGAGAGGAAGTAGGAAATCAGGGGCTGCTTGAATACAGCCGTAGCGCATCGAATCTAGAAGCGACGAATCACGCGCCCCTGATCCTTCTTTCCCTTTCTCTTATACCGAGTCATAAGCAGCAAATCTTGGTTTTATTAGCTACGTACGCATCCATGCAAACTCGAAAGAGGCGGAGTGGCCTGACGAAAGGTTAATCGTCAAGGGGCATCCCAACAATAAACAATAGCGATAGGATTTTTCACTTGTATCAACTTGAAAGTTCTTTCGGTAGTGATATTTCCCGTTGCAACTCAAGAAGGTAGGGGGAGGGAAGGTTGGTCGGTGAGGAAGAAGCAGACGGGACACTGGAAGGGAAAAGGGGAAACCTTCTCCTCTCTCCAGCGTTCCGTCTGCTTCCTCCTCCCCGGCCTTCCTGACCCTCGCCCTACCTTCTAGAGTTGCCATGTACAATAGTATAATTTATGCTATGTGCGTTTCCCTTGTCCTTCAGGCAGGTGGCGCTCTCTGCCTTTTCACCAGCTTGGAGACTAGTTGGAGACTGTAGTCATGTGACCCTAACCGGATACACGATTCGCCTAAAACGCGAATACCGTCTACTCTGCTGACAACACCGAGTGAACAGAACAGCTGCATGAAGGCTAAGTTTTGAAGTTCCAAAGACACTGCCCAGCTCAAAAATTAATCGAAAGCAGGAAGTATGAAGATCCTATGTATTACGCTGTATGCCCACATTCTATGCTACGGTCGTGGTTAATTCTGCATTTGAAGAGTTAACCGCGTCTTAATTCTGCGCACGATGTTCATATATATATATTTTTTTTCAAGAAATAAAAAAAAAATCTTTAAATACTTTGTCAGATTTGCTTTTTTTAAATTCAGTTTTGGGAATCATTGCACCTTTGTGGCATTTATGACTGTATGGTTTAAGAAATGGCACAGTTTTTCTTACATCCCACAATTCTTCAATATGACAGTGCCAAAGCAGTCAGACGTTGTTGCTTCAACACAGAAAGAAATGTTGAACTGTTGTACATATCTGATTTTTCAAGTTTATAATGCACTATCAACAATGTTATTTTTTACTTAATGTGACGCAAAAATACTTCGTTACTAGACATACACTCTTAGAAAAACGGGTATGGATAGTCCTCCCTAAGGTTAGGAACGGTCTTGTACCCTATATTCCTTTTGAAAGGGAGAAACCTTCGTCCCTAAAGCAGGGGAGCAAATAGTTCCTCCGTCGCCTGCATCTCATTATGGCGGCACTGAATCGAGCAAATCGAGCTCAATAAGGATTAACTAGTACGCTACGTCTCTCGTACGGGACGAAAGGAGCAGCAAATAAACGCGTAACACGAGCTTTCCACGAACTGTGTTTATTTCCGAAGCCAGGTTCCCCCCGCAGGCACAGAAACTTGCGTTTCGAAAGCAGTTACTCACTCTTCTCGTCGTCAGCACTGCGACGTTAAAAGGAGACAACCGACACCCAGTTACTTCGCGCACTTTGCGTCTTACCTTTGCTGTTCCTCGAGTCACAATTCTTTCGCCAACCGCGCATCACGGAGAAATGGCAACCCAAATTCCAATCCGCGAAACCAAAAGCCGCTCTCAAAAGAACAAACTCGAAGCTGCTGTTTACCGCGTAGCGTGAAAGAATGTTAAATCGCTTGCCAGCAGGCGGCAGGGTCAAGCAGAGTAATTTCAAGTAGCTAGGCTAGGTGGCGCTAGGTACCTCCCAATTCATGTTGTACAAAAGGTTTTTTTCATTTTTTCAGGTTATCCGTGCGCTTCAGAAACCTCTTCTATACACTCATTTACACACGGAACTTTTCGGTGACTCGCTAAGCAATAAAAAATATTCCCAGCATGTTGATGTTTTCCCAGCGATCATAACTCTGACAGTATTTTGAATGACTCAGAGGAAGAATCTCTTAGTAAAAAGTAAACGCTCGATCATGCCGTAATTATTTGAAAGCTAATATATCAAGCCGCTCCAATGCGGTTCGAAGCCATGAGTTTGTTTATCCCGCACGGCACGTGGTAGCCTGTATTTCTATTGTAGTGTTTGGTTTTCTTTTTTTCTGTTCGCGCACGGCTTTATTTGCAGACTTGAATTAATCTCTGTAGAGCGGATATTCACTCAGCTGGAAGTGATGCTTCACGATCAGAAAATCGCTTTTTGATGAACTTGAATGCAGTCAAAGGCGCGACTTGCGGCAGGTGTTAAGTGTGGAGCTACGACGTGCTGAGTTCGAAAACTTCCAGCGCTCATCGCAGCGCGCCACTTGGAGGGCAGTATCTCCAGGAACTGTACTATATTTAAACAGCAAAAAAAGGGTAGCTTTTTTTTTCGATTGTACCTACTATTCTTTTTTAATGCTTCAATTCCACACTGTAAATATACGCACTTTCCGTCATAATTTCGTACTGTTCAGTCCTTTCCCGAGAGCGCAATTGCTCTCGGGGGGGAGACAACCTACAATCACATGTGCCACTGTACGAGGAGCTTACTGTTCAGACCAGCGTTCAAACATGACTCTCCGCACGTCGACCGATTGCACCTAATCCCTCAAGTGGTCTTAAACTCTTTAATGTAAAGCGGAATGTCAACCTGCGACACTCCGCCCCCTCCGATCACGGCCCGACCAGCGTCATCAATGCCCAACAGTTTACGTCATCTCATCTTGTGTTTACATTACTGGTACGCGAGAACAGGGTCCCATCGGCGATAATTGCAGTCTTCTGTTCACAACGCACAACAATGCCACCACGATGTTGCTGCCATGTTGCTGACACGCAGAAATACAGAGCCCCATTGACTGCCGGTTGACTCTCGGCATCGGAAAACAGAACCGAACTCAGCACGGAATGCACCCAGGCACCCGGCAGCAAAACCTGTCGGTCTTCGACGCAGTTCCTGCGATTTTCATAACGGCGAAAACGTCGAAAACGTCGACACAGTTCCGCGTGGGTTCCGCAATCCGGAGACGGCCACCTTACCCAGTGTACGTATCGGTGCTGGCACTGCTCCGGAACTTCGCTGTTTCTAGCGGCTTCGTTTACTCGTTTGATAAAATTAGTAATAAAAACATCAGTGCAACCGAAATGTTCTGGACGTTCGGACTAGAAGAGGGAATTACAAGCGGCCTTCGCTGCCGCTGGAGCTCAATCCACTCAATAGCATTTATTAAACAACGTGCACGACGTGCTCGAAAAACGAAACCGAAAGAATATGAATCGAGACAGCGAAAGCTTTCGCCCGTCTGCCTGGAGAAGGAGAAAAACGTTTCGTTCCTCTCTTTTTCTCGTGTCCACTTGGGGGCGTGTCAGTACATGGGAGGGAGACGCGCCGTTGCTACCTTTTTCCTCCATTTTTTCTTAGAGTGTAGGCTCACATGGTCTGAGATATTAGTGAAAATTATTTCTCACAATGGATGAAGTCTTATTTTTTCAAAGCGTGGAAACTAAAGTATCGCTTATCATATCTAATTGTTTAGAAGTGGTGTTGATTCAATTATTAAAATTTCAACTATATTCAAAATGCTGTTCCGCGATGACAACGAGTTCAGTACGGGGTCTATGACCAAAGGTAGAGAGTTAATATTGTTCATATCATCAAACCCTGTGATACAATAAAGAAATACCTTTCTTTATACGATTACGTTTATATGTTTCCGGAAATCTCGCAAAAACAATCTAATTTAAGGATAAAAGTGATACATAAAAAGTGCCAATTAATGTTTAAACAACTAGCATGCGTGTCAAAGTATTTAAAAAATAAAAGGCTTGTTAAATTGGGTACCACCAGGAAACCAACAAGATCTCCAGAGTAAAATGTTTCTGCACACTTTTTTAAAACCAAGCAATATTCAAGGGATAAAAAACTGTTCAATGTCGATTTACTCTTTATTCCAAACTCCTCAATTTATTCCAGGTTAAAGTTGCATTTTTTTTTATTCGTACAATATCTTTTAAACCGCAAAAAGTTGGATCTTGCTGCACTCCACAATATTTGCCATGGGGTACCAAGCATGTCAATTTTTCCAGCTATTGATGTAACTCTATCTTGCATTAATTACGAAACGGGCGCAGCAGGATCATGTGTACGTAAAGCAATACATTTTCGTACTTAATAAACCCTCCTTATTTAGCGAGGATAAGTAAAATTTTCTAGACAAATGAAATAACATAGAAACTAAAATATTGCGATTTGACTATAGGTTAATAAAATGAAGTTGCACATGATATCCGAAATATGAAATGATTCGTATTTTTTAAACTTGGGCCAGGGTGTTACCAGAAGCGACATTCCCCGTGTCTGCACGTCTGCGTAAAGAAGGCATAATACGGAAGATAAGAAATTTGCGTCACATTAATTCAACATTTATCTAGTTTTTTTCGTTTAATCTCACCTTTTTTAATTCTCACAAAAATTTTTTTTTCCATTTGCATTTGTTATTAATTATACATTTTGCGAATCATTATTGAAATTTGTCCTTTCAATAGAGAAACAAATTAAAAGCTCAAAAGTGATTGACGTCGCGTAAAACGAGGCACATATCAAAATTATGAATTACGAAATGTTCAAATTATAGGCTAAGGGATATTAGGAGGAACACAGCTTGGAAGTTACAATGGCTGAACAAAAAAAAAATAAAATGTTGAATAAATGTCTTACAAGCTACAAGGCTGAATAAGCTTACTACATTTTACAATGCTCAATGTTATTAAATTCATAAGAATGCAAGTCTTCAAATATGTTTCCACTAAAGTTAACCTATAAACCCCGTCTATAAATTAAACATGAGTAGCTTCAACTTACCTTCTGAAAATACTTGAATTCTTAGCGACTATAGTACAGCACTAAATTTTTGGACTGCATAGTTTAGTACTGTATTGAGTAAACTTGTAAAGGATTTGGACCATCTGACTGTTTAAGCTACATATTTATCTGCTTACAAGTTGGGTCTTGATCGAATATGCCACTCTCGCTACCTTGTAACGCTAAGTCTAAATCTTATAGATATTTCTCACGCACAATAACGTGATCAAAACAATTGTCAGTGTAAAAGACTTGAAAGTACGGTGGAATACAAAGTATTTATGGCCGGCATTTGCATTTCCTGAAAAAGCAGTATTCTCAATTTGAAGGCGGGGGGGGGGGGGGGGGGGTGCAGCGATTTTAAGATTAAAAGAATTTTGCATCTCGTCATTTTTACGTTGTTTATCGTCTCCCGGAGGATAAGGAAAACATCTCCTTCATTCAAAATGTCGCTATTCCGCTGGTTAATCGCGAAGCAAAAGCCAAGCTTTTTGCTCCATCTGCAACCGCGAGTGGCAGCCGAAGGAACTACGGCGAGAAGATTACGTGACCTCGCTCGGCTCTAAGCTGCAGCATAACGCCTGCTAATGTCAGCAGAGAGAGGGAGAGGAAGCGTCCTCAGAAGGAGCACACGGGAACCTACACGGCACCCCGAATTACGTCACTAGGAGTGCGACCAGGTGTGACCCTGTACAGTGGCGTCACTAGGGTCAGCGGCACCCAGGGCGGTAGCCCGCCGTGACACCCCCCTGAGCGCTGCGCCCGGGGCAATCCACTCTCCCCCCCCCCCCCCCCCCCCCGCACCCCCCTTGTGACGCCACTGACTCCGAAGGCTGGGAGTGAGTTGAGGGGTGCCAGAAATTACAATATTTATCTTTTTTTAGAGCGCAGCTCTCAGGCGCCCATTTCCGTCTTCGGTGGCGTCGGCATAAACGTAAGGGGTCGGTGTAACGCGTCGGTGTGACGCGTCGCCGTAGGCGTAACCGTAACGCGTCGGCGTAACCGTAACGCGTCGGCGTCGCCGTCGGTGTAACCGTAACGCGTCGGCGTAACCGCACGGTGCATTTCGGGACGTTTACTATTATGCACCGCCCGGGAGGGAGGAGGGCGAGGGGGAGGAGGAGGTAGGAGGATGGAAAAGGGAGGAGGAGGAGAAAGAGAGAGTAGGAGGAGGGGAGGAGGAGGGAGGAGGAGAAGAGGGGTAGGAGGCGAGGAGCACGGGAGGAGCAGATGAGGCGGGACGAGGAGAGGGTAAGGCGGAGGAGGAGGTGGGGCATACCCTCTCCCCCCCCCCACCCCCTTTAACATACCTAAGCAAATAGCGGCTGCATTCGTTACTTCTCTCTAGACTTAGACAACTAAGACAGAAAAAAATTTAAAATTAAAATATGAATGCAGAAAAAATTAAAGATGGTTTCGTTGGAACCATCTTTAACAAAAAAAAAGTATTTAATGCACACCGATTGTTAATGGTTTCTTTGAAAGCCTACTGGCTCTTCCTATTCTGTGAACAGCAACGCATAGTTCGTTTATAAATTTCGTGGTTTTATTTGCGAAAGCTTTCAATCGTTTGCCTGATGCATAGTTTCCTTTTTTCCAAATTTGCGTTCGTGCAGTTTTCACGCAATCAGAACTATCTTGTCATCCCCTTCTCCAACAATATTCACACGTTCTTCATGTTTATCGCATCGTGAATAATAGAAAAAAAAACACTATATTTTGATCTCTAAAAAAACGTTAACACCATAACGCCCTACGTACCGCCCTTTCTCCGTAGCAAGTCAATCCTTCGGGTGCGAAATGAGGGTAGTATATGTAGTTTCCGTATGCATCAGTTCGAACTCTGCATTGAATCCTGCATTGTAGAAGGTCCAAAGGGTCTTGCGGCTGTGTACAATGCAAGCAACCGGTAAAGCGAAGCCGATTCCGCATGGGGCGAAAAGTTACACATCTCTTATACCAGTGCTTATTCAAGATTATTCTGCACACATCTAATTTGTGTCCTTTCAATTCAAAACTTATAAATAAAAAAGAACTGCGTGCATTTACGCTTCAATTCGTTTTAAGGTAAAAGAAAACACGTAATCGCGATATGTAGATTAGCATAATAATTCCTCAAACGTCCTCACGCTTCACTACACAATGCCCCTCAAATACTGTACTTAACAAGGTGCAATTCTGTCAAAATAGTTACTTGTATGATCCCTCGTACAAAAAATTAAAAAGGAAACATTTGTTTTTCCAAATTTTATGTTATAAACAAATAGCCTGATAATGATGAGTACGTCGTTTGCGCTCCATTCATGTTTCATGCAGCGATCTTGTGCGCGATTAGTTCACAAGTGGGAGTTTATGGCCTTGAGCTTGAATTTTATATCCCTGATGTTTCGACCTGAATATTTTTCTTAACTGTGCCATAGATATACAGGCTGTTTCGGTTTAATTTGAACAGTGTTTTAGCAAATGGGGTTAAGTTAGACGAGTGCCGTCTTCACCTTGTAAGTATAAGGCTCTGCATACATAAGATGAGGAAATAATCCTAAAGGTAAGTTGACTAATTACCAAAACTCCGTTAATTAGCTTTCAGTATTAACACTTTTAGAGGTCTGTAAGTAAAGGACTGACGGCATTTACAACTCGAGGTCAGATCAACTCAAATATTCTACGAATATGTAATAGCTATGTAGAGGTTTATATTCATTTTCACCACTTTTGGCCAGATATAAAAATTCCGCGAAGAGAGAGTGCCACAGGCCCAGCCCGTAATGACGCTTGGAAAAGGGACACAGGCGTTTCAATCATGTCAAAGCAATCTCGGCAGCGTGTCCTTGATGGGTGCATCGACGAAGCAAGTGACGACGGTACTGAAACGACTATGTCATTCGTTTAAGCGTTATTGTGGACAAGGATCGCAGCGCTCTTGCGTGGAATATTTGAGACAAGAAAAGGAAACAAATAATCAGTCAAAAGATGGAGCGCAGGTAAACAAAAACAGTAAAGTGGCCAAACTTCCGAGCGGAGTATTGTAGAGGCTATGGCCGCTGCCACAATCTGCTGCGGGGCCAATAGCTCGTGTGTGGCTCTAACACTTTGCTCTACGCAGAATGGCCCCTGAAATTCACTTGCACGGGATTGACAACCCTTTCTGTTACCTTGGAGGAAAAAAGCGTGCATTTGTTCCTCGAAGAAACGTTAAATCTGCTAAAGGTATCGTGCGCGCGTCTTTAAGACTACCTATTCGACAAGCCCGGTTCATATATATCTTAGGACGACTTAAAACCTACAAATCCATAAACGCGTCCAACTACTTCGTGAACTCCAAGGCATCGGCGGTGGGCACCTACCTCCCCCAGTCGCAGAAGATACGCGCCAAGCCTCTCTGCGGGGGTCGCCGAGTCGGGTCTTAGTTTTAGCAGAGAACCTTCCGTAAAGCTTTAAAGCGAAAGCCTTAGCTGTCCCATAGAGTGAGCCGACGTCATCAGCTTTGAAGCCACGCCAAACGACACCTTAAATCCTTTCTCCAAGTTAATCCAGCTCCTAGCTATGAAACCACGTGAAATCCCGAGCCAAACGGCACCTAGTTTCCCCGATCTCAGAGGAGCGGAGTAAAGCTGACAGATTTCGGCTTCGGTCCCATTGGCTGGCGCGCGTCGACGAGGCTGCCATTGGACGCTGCGCGTCAGTTTCAACGACCGCCACCCCATGGCGCTGCGTGTCTGTCAGCGCGCCGCTAACACGAGGCGTCCACGGTTAGAGAGGCGAGAAGAGGGCGCGCACTGCCGTCGACGCAAATACGCTGCAGGCGAAATAAGGGAGCGGACGAGCGGCTCTGCATGCTCTCACATTCACAAGTCATAAGAAGTGCTAAGGTGTACCTCAAGCATTTTTTTATTACGCTTCCCTTAGCGCAACGCGACTCTATTTTCTATTTGCTTGGTTTGGTATTCAGGGTTGTTTTTCCCAGAATTTACGAGCAGAATAATTAGTGTCAGATACATTTTGTGTTCTTTGAACATTTGTAAGCATTTGACGCCAGTCCGGAAAGTGTTCAGCCACTTTAATTACATTGCTAACCTGGGACACAGCTCCCATATCATTTGGGAAAGATACAGTCTGACAAAATTCTGCGGCGCTTACGTGAATAATCACTTTGGTTTCGTACACGTCATTGGCAGCGATGCTTTGTTTAATCTGGTAAAGCGCCGTGGTGTAGCCACATTAATTGTGATTGAGCGAGTTCGTTCAGGACATACGCCAATTTTCACTTCAAAGTGCAATAGACACCAACGGACACTGTTAGTTGGTAATGCCCGGATAAATATTTGGTGCGGGTGCGTCAAGAGCCATGCGCGGTCTTAAAGATTCTCGGGAGCCAGAGCACCAGACAGCATGAGGCGCGTGGGAGCTGCATTCAACGAAAACCAGCGTATGGCAATAAGAGACATTGGAAGGGACCCGGCAATTCCCTGAATGACAGTTGTAAGCATTTTGCCGGAATATCTGGTCATGGAAACGTGTAGCGGCAAAATTCGCCCCTCAGCTTCTATCGCAAGTGAAGAAGGATCTTCGTGCTGAAGTGGAGCAGGCCTTGCTTGAAACCGCGAGTAACAACACAGAGTTCCCAAAGATTATTATACCAATAGATCAGTCATATTTATAACCCTGACCCTGAAATAAAAGCTCAGTCTAGCCAATGGAGCTCACCAGAGCCGTTATTACTGAAGAAAGTATGAATGGGTCGCAGCACGCAAAGGTAGTGTTGACCAGTGGCGTCGAAACAGGGGTAGCAGGGGGGGGGGGGGGGGGGGGGAGAGGGGAGGCGAGCGCCCCCCTCCCACCAGACAGTTAAGAGATTTAATCAAAACAATACGGGGGAAAGGCCACGAAATCGCCGCCGGCGCCCCACCCCTTTCCCCTCCCCCTCCCCCGACCACCGTCGCGCCAGAATCACCTGTGTAGTTCCAACGCTTCCACTGTTGACGTCCTTTCTTGGTCATAAATGCGTGGTCCATCACGAGTAGGCTACTTCAGGTGAAAAAATACACAAAGAGTACTAATGTAGGTTGACCATCGTGTTGGTTTAGTGAAAAAAAAAAACACCAAAACAATGGGACACAGGTGGGATAAGAAACGATGTACAGTTCCTTTCAACTAGCTGCAGTAAAATAAAGTCACAACGATCGTCTTCCCGAATCACACCTCACAGTAAAAAGTACAAGAAAGAGACATAGAAAGGGGGCAAGGAAAGGAAGGAGAGGGTAACCTAAAACTTTAAACGACTGAATTTAAGAAAAAAGAGACTAAATGATCGGAACTTTATCACTTACTTAAATTATGACAAAGCGGCTATGCCGATTCCGGAGAAAAAATCATGTTAAAATGAGTGACGTAGAAGAAACATTTCCACGGCTTTGTTCATGGTGAATGATTCTATTATATTTCTTCCTAACCTGCTGTGGTTCCCTCCTATGATACTCGTCCGCTGAAAACATGGATGCAATCACTGCACCTGCGAGAATGGACGACGGTCAGGTGATACGAGTCGACTTGCACGTCATGTTTTCCTGAACTCACTTTGACCATGGAAAACCAGTCGCTAGAGGCTTTGCAGTACTTAGAGCTGCGTTTTCATCATACTCAATCGGGTCTGTGTTGGGCATTTCAATAGAGGACAAGGAAACCGGTGCATCCCTTCTAAATTGCTCACTCTGAATCAGTAAAACACAGCATCTTCCAATTCCTTTCCTCTTCCTTCTTTTCGAAGCCATGTCCGCACCTATAAGAAAAAAGCTTGTGGAAGACGAGGCTCTAGGACGACGGCATGGAGGACACGTGAGGAGCGGTAGGCCGAAGAGGCACGAGCCGGCGCGTGATAGAGCGTGCTGCGTGAGGCTGGAGGCAGGGAGGAACGATGGAGCCGGTCCTGCCTAAAGGCACTGGATCCTGGAAAACTAGCGCCAAGCTCCCCGAATGGTGGTCATCTTGGTCCATGAATTGAGCAATTTTTTCTTGACACCTCTGTTCTTGGTGAGCCGATCTAAATTCTCTGGTGACGGGTATAACTTTATGAAGACGTTTCTTGTATATCAATATTTTGCAATCCACACACCGGCGAAACAAGCGTACATCTTCGTACCACCCCCACATGCTGTGTCGGTGCTTGGAGGCGCTGAAAAATAATTTTACTTTCTTGAAATACGCAGGAAGAACAATATAATTGGAAGATATCCGTGCCGATGGGCTTGATTGATAAGTTGATTTAGGGTGCCTTCATATGCGCTTTTCTTGGGCTGATGACACCTGGCCACTTTGTTTCGAACGCTTATTTTTATTTTTTCTTCTGAAAGCGTGAAAGAGCGTGTGCCTGCAAGCGCTCGTGGCACTGACTATGCTAAGGCGACTTTTTGTTTCCTGCGTCTTCTTTGTGTTTTCCCTGTGTGCGCGTGCTGTCGGCATCAGGTACTACTAATGATGGCATCACCCAAAATAGAAGGACAGTGAGGCACTCGTAAGTTGATTGCATACACAGTGCCAAAGACGCTTCTATTGGCGAGGAACGGCTTCAGTACGATGATGTTCCATGGTGATCTTGGCGCAACTGGATCAGAACGACCCCATGGAAGCTTCGAAGGTTTGGACGGACTTAGATGGCAAATTCCATGGCAACGTAGACAAATTAGCGAATCGCCTTCCGGGGTTTCGGTCGTATGTATATTAGTATCTGATTCTGTCCAGTTAGCAGGTGGGGAAGGCAATGGCGCTACTCTTCCAGGATCCAGTGGGTTTAATCCGGCCCATGGCGATCCGTGGAGCGGCCTACCAGCGAGATCCGGACAAGAACCGGCGGGAATGGCGAGCCATGGACATATGGGACTGGGCGATGACAATCCCTGAGAGGTTAGGCAGCGAGGCTTGGACTATGATCGCCCGGAAGAGCTAGCCTACGCAGCGCTGGAGTGAGAAGGACGATCCACAGGCCTGGACACGAACCCCTTCTGAGAGCTCTGAAGAATGGGCGACAACTAGGACCGGAGGGCCCGGACTGTCGGCTCTTGAGGACGGGCAACCGGGAAGTACAGTAAACGTATTCGCTCTCTTCTCGTTGATTCGCGTCAATCCTTGGGAGTCGAGCCCGGGGTAGCCGTTCATAAAGACGGCGGCACCGGCGGTGACCAGCCGGCGGAACGACGAAAAGCCGGAAGGGCATCGCGCCCCCGCGAGTCCTACGGACGCTGTCTGTTGTGCGCCCTCGGCGACATCCACGCGGGATAGGCATCTCCCTCCGCATCGGAGAGACCAGCTTAGAGCAGGCGCCCTGCTGCATCGCGGTGAATGGGACAGCGAGCGACGAACAGGAGTCTGTTGACATTGTCTGCCGCAGCTTCGCTAGAAGAACCAGCTGACGCCAGTATCAAGAAAGACCGACGCCGAGGGTCATACCATAACCTACGCCTCTTTCGGACGCTACAACGCGGCCTCCCCGGCAACATCAATAGCAGCCGTCTCTCCCGACACCTCAGACGACACCTCTGCCTCCCCAGTCCATTGACGAAGACCATCATACCTTACATGGAATAACTTCTCTCTGAGGCCTATGAGAATCCGAGAACCGGATGTCCGCTGAAATCTGTGCCTTGAGGAGGGGAGCGTGTGGGAGACGGGTATGGAAGACGACAGGGCTAAGGACACGTGACAAGCGGTCGGCCGAGAATGCACGAGCTGGCGCGTGACAGAGCGTGCTGCGCAAGGTTGGGGCCGGGTAGAAACGGGGGAGCCGGTACTGGTCCATGGTGATCCCCGGAGCGGTATACCAACAAGACTCGGACAAGGACCTGCATAAACGGCGAGCCCTGGCCACACTTGTCTATGACATGTCGATCCCGAAGCGGTTCGGCACCGGTACTTTGACAATAATAACCCGGAGCAGCTAGCCTGCGCACAGCTGGTGTGGAAAGGACGATCCACAGGCCTGGACACGGAGTGCCGCCTTTTAAAGTTGGGCAACAGGGACGTACAGTAAACGGAATCGCCGTCTTTTCGTTACGTTGCGTCCCTTCTGGGAGGCCAGCGAAGCACGGACCGATCGGGCGGCGATTATTATAGAGCGACCCCACTAGTTTCCATGCTCAGCACCACAAGTTGGACATTGCGGGGTTTCCTTTGGATCTTGAGGAACACCTGACAAAACTTTATTCTTAGTGTTAGCCCCGCAAGACCTGTCACCAAAAGCATGAAGTCGAGTTGTTTTTCCGCCGTACCCTAAGTACTGTCGCAGTGTTGTTCGTGACTTATATATACTGTTAAGTTCGATAAAGCACGGTTGTACCTTTGGAACAAAAACTACTCGTTCATCATAAAAATAATTAGATGAAACGAAAGCATAACTACACAAATATATACTACCAAGAAAGAGAAAAGATGTGAAAAGTTACAAATGGGAGAACGTTAGATCCTGGCCGTAGGCTGGTGTAGATACCGTGGGGTTGAGTTAGGTCGGGTGGCGAGGAGCGTTTCAGTCATGAGGTCTCTTGATGTTAAAGGAATCTTGATTAGCAGCGGGAGTTTTTGTTCTTGCTGGGTGCCAGGTGTGGAGACCAACCGTGCTCAAAACAAAGTCAGGTCAGTCCCGGCTCGCCAAGACCCGTCGGGAAGCAGCAGACTTGATCGGACCTCTTGAGGCCTGGCCGACAGTGGGAGTTCAACGTCTTCGCACAGCCCAGCCTGGTTCGATTGTCCCGCTCCGCTCGCTCCCACGCCGCTTGTGTCTTTTTTCTTTCGTTCTTGCCACGCGCACTTCGTTTCCTTCCATATGGGATCAGCCATGACGCTACATAGCTCAGCGCACAGTCTGAAGGCTATTTCTCCCGTTACATCACAAATGTTTTGTTTCATGCAGAACGCGTTTAAAACAGCTCTGTAAAAAAGTTAACAATGACGAGAAGCCGCAGGAATGAGCTGTCAAGCAAGCAAACAAATTCGTCGCATGCGAAGAGAAGTAAGTTTGTTCTATTCCATTAGGTTCTGGGGACCAATATATTGGAAAAACTGCAAGTTGCGTCAACCATCGACTTTGGAAAAGTCGATTGAAATTTTTATGAACCTCGATGGTGACTCGTATCACATTATCGGCTTTTACTCCCGTTCGTGCAGTGGTTGCACTCCATGATTTGAGCGAACCAGCACCGTAGGAGGGCATCATAGCAGGTTCGGCAGAAAGATAATAGAAACATTCACTATGAACAAGACCGACAACAATTTTCCTTATCCGTCAGTGATCTTAACTCAAGATAGAACTGCGTTCTTGTCTCCGGAAATGATATAGCGGTTTGATCATAATGTTAGGACGCAATGTAGTTTTTACCGTCAGGTCATTTTTTTTTTGTCTTCTAATCTTTTGAATTTTTTAGATATCATCTCCGTTCATTCACTGTCACATTTCCGTGTCTATTTCTGTGATTAAAAAAAAAAAAAAAGATCGCCGTGGCTTTATGCAGTGAACATAGCTGTAAGTAAGTTTACGTCATCCTTCGTCCTACCTTTGTCCTATACTTCCGGTGTTCCCCTAAAGAACACTACATGCGAGTTCTTCGCGTCGGTGAGATTCCATAAGAATAGTAAGACCAGAGTTGTGGGACGCTTCTCCCGGATATACCAACCACTTAACAGCCAAGACATGGCTCTCTGCGACTTTATTATTTTCCCCAATATAAATTCCAGTTGAAGAGTTGTACATTTGAGATCATTGAAGATATTAGAAAATAAGCAAGGAGGCCGCAAAAGGCAATCCCGAAAATGAGCTTCGCAGCATGTTTTGAGAATGGAAGGAACACTGGCATAAATCTGTTGGCTCCCTTGGGGAGTAAGGTACCATTGAAGGCGAGTAAGGTACCTTTGTCCTAAAGCATCTACATTTACTTAGTAAGAAATTGATGGTTACTTTCCGAAAAAGAAACATCTAATTCAAGATTAGCTGTCGACTATGAAGTGGATATTTATCTTACCTGGGGATAATAAATAGAGGGCGACGAAGGGTGGTGAGATTTACAAAACAAATTTCCATTAAAGTAGTCTCCTGGTAGTTTGTTTTCTGAATTTATAAAGTAATCATATCGGAATTTATTAGCTAAGCAGTCCGCCGAGAGAAGTCTGAAAATTAGAAATAGAGAACCAAGGTTAAAAGTGTTAAGTAGTCATTTTTCAGTTGTCTATACAGACATGTTATATATTCACTTGGATTCAATACCGTACGAGAATCTCGTCTGCAGAAAACTAATACTATCATTTTCGCTGCAGTCAAGATATATTTTCAGATATACTACTGAATTCATTGTTCCGGCATACGTTAATTCCCTTTGACTCTATCCTTACCATGGGCAAACTGCTCGTCCTTGGAGTGTCCCAGTATTTTGTTTTTCTAAAAAAACATCTCCGTTTAAATTGTGTTGCAATTTTTTAAAACATAGCAAAATAAATATTATTTTTCATTACATTACCATAATATAAGAGCTTAATAAAAGAAGCGATATTTAATTTGTGAAAGCCAAAACTATTGCGGCCAGCAAAACAGAAATGAAAAAAAAATATGCAGATATTTCGGCAACACTCACAACTGATATATTTCAAAAGATACAAAAATATACCAGATTTCAATAGCAAGAAAGGCAGTAAATTGCAGTGTCCTAGGTAAAACGTTAAGTTCGAACACATAGTCTCAAGAATAGTGGTATGCATGCCATTTGGTAAAGCAGTTCCTGGACGCTGTAAAACACAGGTAAACGTAGAGGGTTCTGCTGAAACCTATTGTTTTGTGCTCAACTTTGTAGAATTTGTAACATATCTTCTGTTTGCCTCGCTTCTCCTTTCTTTTTTATTTTATTTTTTTGAGGGGGGGTTGATGCAGTTGTTCAGTATGTACAGTGGTCATCGCCTGCACAACACATTGGTGTCTTCATATAAGGTATAATGCATTTTGATCCCTAAGCCACCAGACATCCACCTCGTTTTCTTTTCTTCTCCTGTGCGAAATTCTTCTACACAGATGGGAACCCCCGAAGATCTTTTTGTGTAGACGCCATGCATAAGATGTTACAGCGTTCCGAAAACGAAAATCACGCTCAACTTGCTTCTTTTTAGGTTTTTGTTTTCTATGTAACCGCATCTCCGCACCAGCGGTCCTGCTCGCGTTGACCAAAGAGAGTAACTAAAGCGCACCGCCACAATGAATTCAAAACGTATTCTAGGTATATCCAAGATTTAAAGCTTACTAGCTCTTGCAATGTTAATCCGACAGCACAGCATTTCATATTGTATTTCGGTGCCACACTTTCTTTTCTGCTACGAAGGAGGGGCGGCTGTTGGTGCGCGCATTTGTCACGTGTAAGAGGACCGCTGGCGGCGATATTCATTTTGGAAACGAAATCATAACTAAGAAACATGTCCGAATTCTGTGTTTATTCAGAACACCGTAAAATGAAGCACGTACTTTATATTTTGTTATTTTCGTTGATTTAGTGATTTTACATGATGCGCAAAAACGTTATAGTAGGAATAATACCTTTAGCCGTACTTCTTAAAAATTTAATTACTCAAAAATATTTAGGAATGCAAACATATGAAACGTTATTAATATCACGAAGTTGGCCAATTAGCATGACACCAATATGACATCAGTTTTGCTATGCGCAGGGTATTTTTGCAAGAGCAATTTGGACAGCATGTATTATACCAACTGTAAATAAAACAAGCAAAAAAAAAACTTCGTTAACTTCGCAATTTTTAGATTGCGTTTTTTAATCTTTCATATATTGTTGGCAAATGATTCTATGTTTGAAACTGATCTCTATGCTATTTGAACAAAGATATAATATAAGGATTTAAGTTTTAAAGATACATAGAAAGAATGAAAATTCTAGAATCATTAAAATGACCGATGTGCGCCAAACGTCTTTGGGAGGTATTATCCCCTCAAAGCTCATATTCTTCTAAATACCGGTACACACTTCGTTTTACTTGTTTTAGGTTTCTTTGATGCAGCATTTAATAACGGTCGAAACTCTCTTTACACTACCAAATATCTTGGTTTAGTGTTAATCAGGTAGTGAGGTAACACATTTGAAAAAAAGTGAAAGCCGTTTACAACTCCCTGTAATGCCGAATTGGAGCGCAGCTCTTGAGGAGGAGGAGGGAAGGGTACTGAGGGGAAGGTAGACCCCTCCTCCTTCTCCCCTCATTTTTTAGTATGCTCCGGGGGGTCACGTGACCTCGGGAAGGGGGAGTCACGTGACTTCGGGGAGGGGTGGTCACGCGACCTCGGGGAGGCGTGATCTAGGGGTCAAGTGACCTTGGGAGGGGTCACGTGACCTCCGGAGGTCACGTGACCTTGTTGGGTCACGTGACCTGGGGTGGCCTTGGGGGTCACGTGACTTTGAGGTGACCTTGGGAGGGGTCACGTGTCCTCGGGGAGTCACGTGGCCTGGAGGGGCCACGTGACTTGGAGGGGTCACGTGACCTGGGGGTCACGTGACCTTGGGGTAATCTTGGGGTCACGTGACCTTCAGGGTGTCACGTGACCTTGAGGTGACCTAAGGAGGGGTCACGTGACCTCGGGGGATCACGTGACCTGGAGGGGTCACGTGACCTTGGGGTGACCTTGGGGGTCCCGTGACCTTGAGATGACCTTGGTTACGCCGACGGCGACGCCGACGCCGCTCAAGCCGGAAACGGGCGCTTAAGAGCTGCGCTCTAAAATCAGACGTTCACTCAATATCGGGAAGATATTAGTAAAAATATATATTTACCGGAAAAACACCTTCATCTGTAGTTTACAGCAGGGAGAGAAATGAAAGGACTTTGCATCCTTCTCAATGTAGCTCATCATGTAGCCGTGTTCCCACGCGCATTCTGGAAATTTTGATCCGGGATGATTAGGAATATGGGCCAGTGGTCCTTCACCGTCATGTACGCAGCCAAACCTAAAATAGATAGAGGGGTACGTTTTATTTGGTTTGATTTGAAGCTTCCTTTTGGGTGTCGTGTTCCTAAGTTATTTGAAGGAGAGATATATTTGCCATGATATGCATTACCCTGAGACCGGGGAAAAATAACATTCAGAATTGAAAGAAACAAGAAAATTAAGGCAGATACACATTGTCTCAAACGCAGTTACTGCGTTTATTTAGTTACCCGTCTTAAACACGCCACCTTTTTATGTTGCGAAGAAAGGGGATGTGCAACGATATTCGATGGAAACGTTCCTTTCTTTACACCAGCTTACTGGAACTGGTGGGGCGCAAGAATACTCCAACGCAGCGTCACTGACCAAGAAACTCCTTTCTTTCGGTATAATTTCGAGGACAAAAGCGGACCTTTCCTTTCGGTGCTTCCTTCGCAGAACTTAATGACGAAGAGAATTGCGTAGCTAAGGAGGCATTGCCAACAATGCGATGCGTAGGTGTGCGCCATCAAGTTTTGCGAACCCCGCTGTAACGATATTTAAATGTTGTTCATACAGTAGACACAAAGACTGCCTAGGCATTCGAGTAGTGGCTCGTTCCCGATCGCTTGGATGAGGGGAATAGCCGAAACTTAAGAATGCGCTGAACTCGGAAAGCGCCCTGTGCTCTACCAACCCGAACGCGTGGAGCATTGGCGGCGTATAATTGGATCCATATCACGTGGCTGTTTTTTTCTACCTGCGAGTTGAGGGGGTAAACGGTGTTCTTTTTTTCTTTTTTTTTCTTTCTGCGACTGCCTTTGAGTAGAGAAAAAAAGCAACTCCTGTTTCATTGTTCACAAACGTCAAGGAATCTTTCTAAGCTGTATTTATGCAAAATTGAAGAATTGTTGCATCGCCCCTTTATACCATACGAACTTGCCCCTATTCCGAGGTATTTAACATCAGAGTAAACTAAACGCCGCTAGCCTTTCACCCTCATTGTTTTTTGTTGATGTGTCTGGTCGGTTGTTAAATGCGAAAAATCGCGAAACTTTTAACTAAGCCGGGGTCGTCCGAATCAGATGAATAAAAATAATGTTTTGACTCGCACGCTCCCGTTCCTACCGCCCACAAGGGCCAGGAGAATGGGGAAATGCGGTAAAGTGTGGGTGGAGCAACATGAATCGAAGCACCTATTTTTTCGTCTCTTAGGACCTTACTAATCCTTCGGGCCAAGATATAACATGGTACAAGGCTCGCGTGGCCATATTTTTTTACAAGTACCAATCGATCTTTCAAAGTAATCGGTTGGTCATACCCAACCTGCTGTCTGTATTCATTGCAATACTCAGGGTGCTTCGCACAAAAAAGTATAATAAATAAACGTATTCCTTCGGGATGCTGCTCTAACGCCGTCGTCGATGTCCGAGTACGATATGAAAGCAATAATACCCTCACCTTTTAGCTAAATCCTCTAATTTTCTCCCTAAACTTGCGCACTAGTTTGCACATTCCAATGAAAAATTTTTTAGTCGTAGTGAATAGTCCAGTTATAATACTGAAATCTAGATTAAGTCTGGCAACCTTCATTGGTCGATTTAATCTTGTAAAGGAACCGTGCTCTCGAAACTAAGAGGTAAGGGATCGAATAAAGATCTTCCCCGAGGCACGATGTAAGATACATTTGAGGCGAGGACACACAACACGGCGAACGCTACTATGCCAAAAGACCCTTCTCTTTTTTTAATTCTTCGTGAGTACACGCTTTCTATACAGGGTGTCACACCAAAATTAAAAGCCTCTGTAAGTTTCGCAAGCCACTGCCCGGATAAAGGGCTGTGTGCATTGGGTCATGGTTAGTAGATTCCTCTGCCACCTCAGGCGGTAAATGCGCTGAAGTTTTACGAGAGTACGGCGGAAAGCTGCAGGGGGACACACGTTTGTCTTGGCGTCACCGCCTGCTAGCGTCGCGCTTCTTGTAAGACGCTGAAGGAAACGCTGGCGGCGACGCTGACCGGTCTTGTCGTTCGTCGCAGGTAGAAGAGTGAGGTGCGTGCAGGTAAGAACGAAGCTAAGAGATTATACGCCGTCGAGGCCCCGCAGAGGAACCATCTGGGCAACGCGTACTCGCGTATAGGTTCTCTAATTCGACGGAAACTCGAAGAACTATCTTATCCTTCTGGCTTATTCAAACCGCGTAGGTTTTTTACTTACGCATGGGCCAACTCGTGAGCAGTTACACGGACACCTTGATACGTTCCCGGCTTGTCTTCTCCAACTCCGACATTGTTGAATCCGCACATCACCGCGACAAAAGTCATTCCTATAAAAAAAGAAGACGCAGTAAATTGGCGCATCAATAATCCAACCCCGTTTTGCAGTACTAAAAAAAACTTCGCTTAAGTTGCGAGTTAGAAAAATGAATTTTTCGTTAAGGCTCGTTAAACTATTAAGTGCTGGATACAGTCATCCATCTGCGTAAAAAACCTCACTTCGAACTCTTTTGTTCACGTTCCGCCCTTTCAAAAGCACGGCCAAAGAGTGCCAACTGCGCCATTCAATCATAATAGTATTTCCAAAAAGGCCTTATTTTGCTTTTCTTTTTAGCCTAGAAAAACTTTGACATTGTAGAAACACTGGATGTAATATAAAGTCTTACGCATCCGTCACGCGTTTAAAAAACACACAAAAACTTCTGCTGTCTGACTCGGATTTCGTCTTAGGGTATTTTTAGTGAGATCAGCGTTTCTTAATTAAACGTTTTGTGAACATATTCCAAACTCATCACCCCTGGCAATATTTTGTAAAATTCATGATTCTGGTATCTTCTGCTTTGGAATAATGTTAGACCAATCAATCATCTAAATACCCATTAACTCATTAAAAGTTCTGCAGTTTATTATTTCACATGACAATTATTAAAAGCAATCATTACAAGCAGTGTGCCACGCCTTCTTGCCGCACACAGCGCTCTGCTGGTGACGTCACGATCCCCCACAGCGCAGGCGCGGCGAATCCCGGTGGCTCCACGCCTGCCGTGACGGTGCATATGCGTTGCTGTGCTTTTCTTTGTGTTTTACTTCTGAACGGGCGTGCTTGTTTACTTGCATTTAGGTGCCGGTTTGCTCAGCCAATGGGCATTTAGGGATTATTACAATCAGCCAATGGGACTAGCTGCCGTTTTTCGTGGTTACAGACAACGCCGGCTGCACTCCTTGGAACAGTTAATGCTTTCAATTTAAAAATAAATCAACGTAGAAGTGAGAACTACGACATTCTGCCGAGACAATCTTAGGTAGGAAAAGAGAGAGAAAGGGAAATGAATGGTCATTTCGGAGATATTGCAATCTTAAAATTATACGAGGTAACAGACTATTTAATGATAAAATAGATTAAGTCTAAATTAATCGGTATGCGGCTATCAGTGAAAGTAGTTAGAGTTGTAATAATACCTATCATTTCTAATAGTTTAGTGTGAAATAAAACAATCCAGTCATAATGCACGCACCCATAAGAGTTATGTCAAGATTCTGGCCGTTCATCTGAGCAAGGTCTCTCCTAAATCCAGGTGGAGGAACAATACGTTAGTGTAGACATTGTGGAGACATCCTGTTTAGAGTAAATATACTTTAAAAAAGCAAACATATTCAGAATGCAAATAAGGTTTGTCACTCACCCTGAAAACAAATAAAAGAAATCTGGATTCCCAAAAACGGGCCTTTGACGAAGAAACCTATATAAGTTTCTCAATGACTGTTCAGCCAAGACATATCCCAATGAATAAGAGTATAGGAGTGATTCCTCCTAGAAAATTATTCTAAAAGTAATAAAAGCACTTACTAGAGAAAAAAATTCACTCACCTGATATGTCAGTCGGTACATGCCGACAATTCGTATGGTAACAAAGGGGTCGGACAGCAGTGTAAACCGAAGTTTCACCTAAATTTAAAGGACAGTTGGATTAATTTTTTTTTATTTCTAACATGTTTATTGTTGTGATATTTAAATGACAAATTGTTTATTTTATAACCCTCAAACATAATTTTTCAATCCATTATTAAGACACGACCTAATTAAGTATCAATCATTTTTTACTTTTTGCTTTTATTTACTTTATAGGCGGGGCATCTAAATAAAAATGATCATAGTTTCATTTAATGGAAAAAATATTTAGAAACTGTTTAAACAACTAGTCGTGTCATAAAATTTTATGAGCGTAATCAGCTAGTATTGGTTTCTAATTAAGAATAAGCAAAAACTAGAGTGCCACGCACAAATCCAAACACGCGAAATGCATGGCTGTTTCAGCAAAATACATACGTTTGATTGGCTAGTGAAGAGCTCGAGGGAAGAGAAATCTTGGCGGAGATAATAAACGCGTGTCTGTCCACTTTTTGCGTCTGGTGTATTTTTATGAAGGGGAACGCTGACTTGTCCTCTACTGGCTAAGACATTTGCATTTGAGGAGACCTGACTCCGTTAATTCTCGTAGCTTTCCTTTTTAGACCCGTTGCGCGGACTGCAATTTTCATAGCAAACGTCTGGTCGTAAGAAGTCATCAGTGTGGGTTCGTCACTTGATCGTTTTGTAAGGAATTATATGCTTTTGAACGAAACCCCTAATTCCAATGTTTTTCTGTCCGTTCATTTCCCGCCAAATTTAGCGGCGAAACTAAATTGGCGGTTAGGTTACGTGACTTCGATTGACGTCGTATAACCTGACTTCACGCGATCTATACAACACTTCAGTTTTCCCGCTAGAGTCAGCATGGGAGTTGATGTCACTTGACCTGAGGTCACGTGATATGTGCACTGATTCAGTTTCCTCGCTAAATTTATTAGAAAAATTCACGTAACGTGGCGCCACGTCATGTTACCTCTAATGTACATCATTGGTTGTTTAGCTTTACTTGACTTATTTTGTAGAAAACAACGATGGGTTGCGCGACTATGAATCTACATAATTTCCGTTCCCTCGCTAAACGTACCGAGGAAATTGGTGTTACCTGTCCCAAACTTCTTCGCTTCCGTACTAAACTTAGCGACGAAATCGACGTCACGTGAGCTGACAACACGTGAGGCAGCAATACGATTCCCCCAATAGATCTAGCAGGAGAATCGACGCAGCGTGACTTATACACAAGTTTTGTTTTCCGACTAAATTTATCAGGGAAATCGACGTCGCGTGTGGCACCCAGTTTCTCCCTCCATGTATCCGCGGGAATTAAAAAAAAAGGCACTCTACTCCTAAGATATCGTTTTTATGTCTCTTAAATATTGCTAACCAATCTTTCCCTAAATTTTGCTATTCACGCAATATAGGTTTTTGAAGAGAAATATCGTTCCCAACTTTTTTTCTTCAAGTTCTCAGGGTTTTTTTTTTTTTTTTTTTGGGTGGGGGAGGTTGTATTTTTTTTTTCGTACAATCGGTGTTTTTCGGTGTCTTAAAAAATTACCGTTTCTCACAGTATGCTGAAGTAAATAAGACACTGTCGTGTGATTTTTCAAACTCCTAGGACCATGCGTGGGATCAGAATACTGGGAAGCCGGCCGGGTATTCATAAGGAAATGAAATGAGGGAAAAGCTGTGATTCCCGAAAAAGGAGGTAGCCTCGCAGGAAGTTCTCTGCGGGTTTTGTTCTGGGAAGTGATGACAAACGCGGCCAGCTGAGCGTAAAGACGTAGGGCCTAAGAGGCATGAGAACAGAAAAGGGCACAGGACCCTGACTCTCGCGCACGAGAGGCATGGGGTAATCTCCATTAAAACTTCGCCTAAAGAACACCTCTTACAATTATTCCATTAAAACAAAGCTTACATAGGGAAATATCATAAAACAAAATATCATAAAGCGCATCGGCTAAAAGCAAATCTTTCAGAGGACACCTTTCAATAACGCAACAGCTCAACCCGTCAATCGCCGCCCACTTTGTGTTCTCTTAATTGCGTTTTTTTTTTTATTGAATCATCGCTGAAACTCGAGGCTCTTAGCTTTTCTTAAATTTCCGTAAATACGGGCACGAGGGTTACCCTCGGAGTTTATCGATACATATCAAAAGGGCGAAACGCGAGGTCTAACTGACATTACCATTTTCATGAGTAGAATTTAAGCGTGACATGGCAGATGACGTGCTAAAGCAGCCTTGTACGGGAAGGACAGGTTTTCAGTACCCCCCCCCCCCCCAAAAAAAAAAAAAAAAAAAAAACACGCACATTTTTTTGTTAGGAAGGTAACCAAGACTTCTTTTAAACATCTTACATAACACTTGCATATCGCTATATTCTTGAGGCTATTATGTAACCCACAGCCAGATGAAATGAACCCTTTGTGTGAGGTGGTCGGTAAATTCAAAATTAAATGTCCTAACAGGCACGAATTTTCCCAAATGTTACCAAATAGATTGCAGTAATACTCGTGCTTAGCTTTTTCCCCCAACGTATTTATAGTTTGTTTCTGTGTCTTAAATTTGACAAGATCGTGATTGTCTTCAGATTTTAGAAAGTTAGGATATGAACTATTTTGATACCAACCTTTTTTAAAATAAATGATTGGAAACCCATGGTTTATTCGCTCTTTTGCTAGGCTTTATGCACTTATAAGAAAAGAATTTGTCATAAATATCTCGGAAAGTTTCCAAAAATGTTTCGTATGCTGCATCAGGAGAATAATTCGCTTAAAGACCGACCAACGAAACCATTTTCCGCAAGGTAGGAAAATGGCCCTCTCGCCCTCCTCTTTTCACCCTCTCCCGAAAATCACGTGACGGCAGGGGCTTCTTTTGTGGCGGTTTCTTCTGTAGGGATAATCCTCAAAACCGCGAAAGGAGCGGCTAGCTGCGAGCGCCACAACGACCTTGAGACGTCCAGGTGTCTTCCCTCGTTGACGCGGGCACGCTCATTCCGCGAGATTGAGGAAGCCAGCGCGACCGAACGCTTTTTCCCTTGAGCTGCAGGTCCGAGGCCGCTCGGTCGGTGGAGATCGAGGGGTCGTGGTATGCTGGGTTCGTTCCAGCAGCCGGTCTCTAGCATCGCGCGGCTGCTGGAACCATTCCCGTGTCTGCACAAGGATTGGCTTGCGCAATAAAGGGTTCAGGTCGTCGATAATACATTTATTTTTGAAACTTATAAATCAAGTGGCTTTCCCTAATCTCTTCATTACTGTTTGAAACAAATCTCCTCTCATAGGTTGTTCACCCAATTTTGGACTCTTGCGTATTTATTCGTCCTTACCTCTGCTTGATGACTGCGTGATAACTTGAAAAGGACCTTTAAATATTGGCGCGGGCTTGCGCGATCAACGCTGTCCTGGATTTATTCAAAATTGGAAAGATTGGCGTCAGGAGGGGTTCAAGAAGCAAACCGAAATTCTTGCTTCTAATGAAGACGGTACAATCATAAGATAGGTCTTTGCTTCACTTGGCTCCACAACGCCCCATCGTTTGCACTATCGCAACTTCTCAGTAACATAGCTGTATACCACATTTTACTCATGGTGGACCCACAGGCTTTCCCGTTATGAGCGAGTCGACTTTTTAACGACCGGCGACTCTCCTGAGTAAGATTAAATATTATCACCTCTCCACAACATCCACCCCCTTCTCTCTTCCCCCCCCCCCCCCCCTTTCCCGACTTGGGAAGATATCACGCCACTCCAGGAAGCAGCCTGCAGACTGCGCTTTTCGGCTACTCATTCTCAACACATTCGAACGTGGAAGTAAACACATTGCATGAACGACGCCCAGTTTATTTGCAACCTAAATAACGTGGCTCCACCGTTGGAACAGAATCAATTTGATCATCAATCATTATTTGTTACGATTTCATGGTGAAAGTGTGTTCGTCGTGGTGCCACAAAAGCGATCGAGTCAAAGGGAGAAATAAGTCCTCGTATTTATTTTGCGGAAATACTCGCTCCTGTGCCGCTCTAGTGCGTAAAGTCAGAGCACCCGAGGCAGTGCGTAATACTTTACAACTGTCGTTGGCCATGAAATATTTGTGGGAAGTGGGTAAAATTGTGTACACCACAAAAGCATATTTAAACGCAACAAAATATCACAATTGAAAAAAAAAAAAAAAAAATCTGCCTGCGAAACCCGTTGCTTTCCACTTTCTCTCTCTCTCTTTTTTCGCGCCACTACAAAAATAGCGGCCGAGCAACGAAATTCTATCAAAACCTCGCTTCTCGGAGAAACGGCAACAGGCTATACAGTAGTGAATCTGACAGAGAGTTTGTACAAATAATAGGCGACCATTGAATCTAGCCTTCTGCACAAATCATGCCCGGGATATTTCCATTTTCCTTCCACGCAATTAGATGGCAAGACGCTGGGAGAATTCGTGTGCCCTAACATGCCGCTCCTAAAAGAAAGTACCAGATTTATAGTGCATGTTAATTTAGATGTAAATAGTTTAATCAGTGTGCAAAAACATTCGAGGCATGGAGTATGACATGGAAGCATGGCGGAAAGCAGCTTGCTGGAAATAAAAGTCTCTATTGCATTGCACTGGTGTGAAAAATTATTCCATATTTTTGTTTTATTTCTGTGCGAAAATAAAAACAGCGTTTAGAAACCGAACACTGTGCGTTTTCAGGAGTGCCGAAAGGACATAAAAAACCGGGACAACCTGAACAATACGAGGCGCCTTGCGTCACTCAGCTTTTCTTGGTTTCTTGTTTTTCCGGAGCCTTTCAAAAGGGGATGAACAATTATGAACCGATGGACCCGACTTGCCACATTAGAGCAGTTAATTTTCATTACGACAGACTGTATTCAAGCGTCTTGCATTGTTCAGCTTGTACTGGTCCGTTGTTTTTTTTATTTTAGATTCCTTTCAAAACGTGAGCTCGAAGCCACTAGACCAACCTACAACATTCATAAGTTACGGAAGCGGAGAAGTGGAAATGCGACAAAAATGGGAAGATTCGCCCGCGTTATTTGAGG